CAGGGGTCGGCGACGATGCCGGCTCCTCCGGTGTGCTCCGGGGGCCGTTACTCCCTCGCCGTTCGTGCGGGGGGCGGAAAGCGCGGACTTCGGGACTGGGCGAAGGTGCCGGGATGCATGTTCGCCGTTCCTTCCCTCCTTCCTTTTATTTATTTATTTATTTTTTGTTTTCTCCCCCCGTTTGAAACTTGAGCTGTGCGTCCAGATACCGTAGGTACTAGAGCCCATGGAAACGAATCACCCAGGCCAGCTCTCATCGCTTTCCACCCTGCCGCAGCATCCCCTTCCGTCTGTTCTTGTTGGTCCTCTGGCCCCGTTCTGTCCTGGCAGCCTCCGGATCTCTTTGAATTGAGCCCCATCGTCGCCTTCCAATTTGAGACCTCTCTCACATTGTCCGTGCAAATTTTAGCAAATCCTATCTGTTCTCAGGACCAGATTTACGTGTTAGAGAGTTGATTGCGTGGACCGTGCCCCAGCTGTTCTAGTTAAAACGGTCCCTCACCTCTTCCCCATCTCTTTCTTCCCCCATGTTATGGTAGTTTTCTTGTCATATTTGGGAGCTAGTCTCTGTAAGTTCAATCCCCGGGTATCGGAGACTAGAAGCCTACTTGTTAAGGGTCTTGTAAAAAAGCAGAAAAACAAAAAAACCTGCCTTTTAAACAAGGAATAAATGTAGGTGATAATTGATGGAAGGAATTAATGGAAGGCAGTGATTTGGGAAAATAAGGTCACCAGCCTTTGCAGATGGCGTTAAATGTCTTTGGGAAATACCAAAACGCTGCGGGACATTGTTCATTCAAGAGCTTACTTGGTGAGGAAGGTAGAGGGACAGAACTTACCTTGCTCAAAGATCGGTTCTCAGTATTTCATGAAATCTTAAACTGAGCTTCCCAGTGCTTATTAAAAGCAGAGACGTATGAATTTCTTGCGTGATTTAGTAGAAAGACAAACCTGCTAACATGGGTAGGTGTCAGGATAGTTGGTTAGGAGGAAGGCAAAGTTTTCAAGATCAGATTGAGGGCTTCTTACATACAGGCTGAGAATCTCCACTGTCATGTTTCTAGCATTGTAATGAGCGTTTCTGATTTACACAGACTGTGGTGTGATAAACGGCCTGTTATCTAATGTTCATGTTTCTGTATCCCTTTTCCCCAGGTACTTGGTTCCAAGACACAGTTCTTAATGCTATTAAATTGATGCAAGGTTCTAGATGGAATTTATGCCCAGCTCTTTTTCGTTAAGGAGGATGGTGGATGCTACTTAGAATTGGGTGAGAGGATAGTTGGAGGGGACGTAAACAGTTTACAAACCTAACTTTATGATAAAGGCTGAGAATATTTGTACCTCTGTAGTGACAGATCTAATTAGGCAGAGCCTTATGGAAGACTGAAGCTAGGTGATACGTATAGCTGATCTAGAAGATATAATTTGCATAATTTCCCAGTAGCTGTGTGAATAAAGTGTTGACTGTTTTTGAAGGAACACATTGATTTTCACAGGGAAGAAGTTTTTTGTTTTTTTTTTTTAATGTCCGTATTAGTGTGCTCTTGGAGGAATTTGATATTTTATTTTAGAACCTAAAAACTTAAGCTGTGTATGAAAATGGACTGTGATTTAGAGTCCATTTGTCAGGTGTAAATTGCAGTTGTTAGAGTCAACTCTGCTAGTAGTTGTAGAGATAAGACACTAGTGTTACTGTGCACTGCTCATTTAAAGAGTTTCCTTTTTTGGCTCATAGTGTTATAACACCCTAATTTGAGAACCTTTATGACAAGTTTTTTCCATCAACCTTTATTTTAGAATTCAGTCTTTGAATAGTATACATGTGTTGTGACTTATGGATGCATAGTAAATTTGGAAACAAAAATCTTCATGTAAGTTGTTGGTTGATCTAACAACTTGTTGATCTAACTACTGATGTTAGTAGTACTAACACAGTGCTACTTACAGTGTTTTTCATGCACTTACATTTGAGTAGAGTCAGTTTTAGAGTTGAAAAGATGTATATAGGCATTAAAGAGATGACTCTTTCTGATGACTTGTTAATCTGAATACTTTGTTTTTGTCACATCCAGATTTTTTATTTTTTTCTTTTTTAATTGCTGGAGGATGCATGCACTCAGATAGAGAGATGGAGACAGAGAAAGACAAAGACCCCCCTCCCCATGGGGCGTGGCCTCGCTGCAATCCTTTTTCCTCCTTTTCTCTACCCCTTTTGGATCTGGGTCATGCACACATATACCCAGTGAATTTTTCAAGCTACTGGGGCTGGAATTCAAACTGGGTTGGCCATATGTGATTGGGCTTTCTGTGCACCGCATCTGCCCACTGTGTTATAGGCTGCCCCCAAATCCACCCCCCCCCATTTGCTTCTCCTTTTGATATGTTGCTTAACTCTTTGCATGGCTTTTACAATGCTCAACTTTATTGTGTTAATTTGACTGTTAAAAAAAGCCCTCACAAGAACTTGCAAGTCTGATAGTCCTAAAAGTTCTAGAAATGCTAATATCAAATTTGCTTGATATTTCCTTATTTAGGGTGGTGGTATATATTTTATGAAGAACTGAGTTTTTAATATGAGAATTTTACAGATTGACAAGTTGCCAGTTTTTTAATCTAAGAAATTCCTAGGTATCAGATTGAGGGAACAAAATTTACATCTGACTTTGTAAAAGTTTTTTTTTACTTAATTCTGAAATTTTATGTTTATGATGGAAATGATTAGTTCATAGGTGATCAAATGTATTTCACTTTTTCTTCATACATTTTTCTTGGGAGATAGAGAATAGTAGTAGGTATATGGTGTTTATAAATAAATAGACTGACTTTTGTAAGGTCCCATTTGAATCTGGGATCCTGTGACTCCATTTTCAGTAGGCTTTATCTTAAGATAAATGTCACAGAAAAGATTTAATATAATATGAAACCTTCAAAAGCACTTCAAGTGTTTTCTATGTACTTGATAGGC